AAGAGAGGTCGTGTATTAAACCCAGGCAATTTGAGGAAGGAACTGACTGATGAGATATTCTAGCCATAAAATATCCTGTAGTCCTCACCACCTTTCCCTCACTACCTCCGGAACAAGGCAGCTGTTTTAAACTCTTGAAGCCTTTCCAGTTAAGTGTGCCATTACTGCAGCAAAGCTGTTGGCGTCTCTTTGTTCACAAGGTGTCACCGGCAGCCTGAGTCTCTCAGGCTAGTGTACACGCACATGCTTTCCACAAGACTCTTGCTAGCTTTCACATGTGCTGAAACGAGGCCCCAGCTCTCTCTCTCCAGTGTGCAGACTCCTGTAACACGACCCAGTGGGTCCATTGCTAGTCCCCACTTCATAGAATCGCAGACAATGAGGGTAGGAAGGGAGCTCAGGAGGTCGCATCTAGTCCCACCCCCTGCTCCAAACAGGACCAGCCCCAACTAGATCATCCCAAGCAAGGCTTTGTCTACCCTGGTCTTAAAAAACTCCAGGGATGGAGAGTCTACCACCTCTCTGGGTAACCTGTTCCAGTGCTTTACTACCCTCCCAGTGAGACAGTTTTCCTAAAATCCAACCTAAACTTCCCTTGCTGCAACTTGAGACCGTTGCTCCTTGTTCTGCCATCTGCCACCCCCGAGAACAGCCCAGCTCCATCCTCTTTGCAACCCCCCTGCAGGGAGTTGAAGGCTGCTATTAAATCCCCCCTTGGTCTTCTCTTCTCTGGACTAAATAAGCCCAGTTCCTTCAGCCTCTCCTCATACATCATGTGCCTCAGCCCCCAAACCCTTTTTGTTGTCCTCCATTGGAATCCGTCCAATGTATCCACATCCTTTCTGTAGTGGGGGCCTAAAACTGGACACAGGACTCCAGATGTGGGCTCACCAGTGCTGAACGTAGGAGAAAAATCACCTCCCTCCATCTACTGGCAATGTTCCTATTAATGCAGCACAGCATGCCATTAGCCTTCTTCGCAAGCGCGCAGTGCTTGCTCATATTCACCTTATTGTCCACTGCAACCCCCAGGGCCTTTTCTGCAGAGCAGCTGCTTTGCCAGTCGGTGCCCAGCCTGTACCCGTGCATGGGATTGTTCCATCCTAAGTGCAGGGCTTTGTACTTCTCCTTATTGAACCTCATGAGATTTCTTTTGATCCAGTCCTCCAATTTGTCTAGGTACCTCTGAACCCTAGCCCTACCCTCCAGCATATCTACTATTCCTCATCTGCAGACTTGGTGAGGGTGCATATGTCTGCCTCTGGGTTAGACTGAGTGCAAGTGGGGACCAAGCACTGACCACGCACCAGCAGGAGATTCCTCGTGGGTCATGGGATCCTAGTGTACCTAGCACTTTGTTTCCTGATTTTGGCCTCTATCCCAAGCCTCAGAGATATGCTGGACTGGTGAGAGTAAGGCCAGAACAGGCCCGAGGAGACTATAATTGCTGCCTAATGAGAGAGCATAATATCTCTGAACCCCAGACTGAGCCTAGAATACATCCTGGTGGAGACGCCTGTGTCTTGCTGTTGCCTTGTCAGGACTATACCTGAGGAAGAGCAACAAGAGATGTCCTCAGCAGTGCTAGCATCGATTGAGCTTTGTGTGCTTCATGTGTTTGACATGCTGTGTCGTGAGCAGCACGTGCTTGGGAGTACAAATGACCCGGACAGATTTTCAGCTCCATTGCGGAAACAACACGCCTGATGCTGCTGCTGTGGTCACAAGCACAGTCAGTGCAATGCGTATGCATTTCTATAAGTAAGCCCAGGGCTTCCTGTGTTGAAAGGGAAATACATCTGATAGCAGTGAATGTGACCCTAGGGAGCCCTCAATTAGCAGAGAATGGCTTCTCTCCTTCAATATTTGCACTGCTTTCCAGTTAAAGCAGTGACAGATCCCAGCTCTCAGATGGTTACAGCCTCAATACGTGGCAAGGGCTGACCATGAACAATGGGAGTTGGGAAAGACTAATAGTAGCATACAGAGAGATCATAGGAGATACTTATTTTGAGGTGCTGGTCTGGTTCCCTCTTCCCTTCCCGTGTTTGAACCCTCCTTCCTCCCATATATTTAGCTATTTCATTTTGCTATTTTCAAATCTGGGACAGTTTCTGCAGGTGAGGGGGTGATGCTGAAGAGGACACCAACACCTCTTCACTGTATGGGGACCTTCATTTGGCTTAGCGGGCAAATAACTACCCCTTCAGCATAGAGGTCTGTGGGGCTTTGCTTCTTTCGGGTTACCTGTTCTCTCCCAGGGACAGAAGCAATACATTATTTTTGATGCAACTGAAATCACACAGCCCTCAGGGTGCCGTGCCAGCCTAGCATTTAGGGGAGACAAGTGCTGTTCCTTATTCCCTAGTGAACATTTCCAAAAGGGGACTGACCCCTCCAAGTCTGAGGGCTCAGCTTGACTTCTGGAGATGCTGAACACCCAGCTTCTCACCTGTGGCTGAAGATGAACAGCAGTTTTGAAAATCAAAGCTGCCCAGGGTCTGAAATTCAGGGTACCCAAAGCAAGGCCACGTTGGAGTATTAGGGCCTTTGCTTTCTCCTGTACCAAAAATGCTGTCTGCTAGAACTACTGTCTTGGCCAGGTAGGTTCAGCATGGGAGGTTTTCATGGACACTTCATAGCCTGCTTGCCCCTGTGGTATGCCAGATATTTGCAAACTAGTCCCTGTCTTTAGATGTGGGTATAAGATCTGTTAGCTTGGTAGCTATGGCTCCAGTGCCATCTTGCGGTGAAAGCCCCTTACTTCCAATAAAGCAATAAGGATTGCAGGTACTGGAGCCTGGCTTGAAGCCCTAGTGTGTCACTGTCAGCTTGCATTACAACCTCAATCTGTTTTTTTTTCCTTAATACTGTTGATCTCAAATAGGAAGACAGGGCTATAATTATGGGCTCTCTCTTTCTAGGGCTGTTCAATCTCCGAGGCTCTGATGTTGAATACAATCCAGTGTTTTTTGCTTATGCCATCATAGGAATCAACAGCATCAGGTATTTATGTTTGCCCCTTCCTTATCTCGTCTAATTGTTGCCTGAGGATCCACGCCTGTTTTCTCCCCGAGCCTGGTTCTGGCGTTGCGTGTCTCTTTAAATTGCCTTTGCAATGCCCCTCCCTAGCATTTTTTATCTCATTGCAGCAGGGGAATGGGTGGGTCAGGGAGATTTGATTATGTTCTTGTCTGTGCAGCTGGCTGTGTGATCCAGGGCAAAATGCTTTTGTCTCTTTGTGTTGCACTTTCTCCATCTGTAAAATCAGGACTATGCAAAGCCCTTTCTGATCTTTGTGGTGTCCAGAGCATTTGCCCCAGATACAGATGCAAGAGAACTTATCCCCCTGGGGCAATTCCGGGAGGTGATTCACCAGAGTCATTTAAAAACCACAGCATCTTTTGCTGCTGTGTCGAGGGGTTTGAGCACTGACCTGCACCCCCAATCCTGTTCCTTGCAACAGGCTTCATGGCTAATTCTGGGGTTGTTAGGATACATCACACTGCCTGCCAAATGTGCATGGTCTAATGCAGAGGCTGGCAACCTTCAACAAGCCACAGGCCAGAACAACCAGATTCCAGTCCCACATGGGCTGGTGGCTTCTGCATTTGTGGGGCTTCACCTGTGCCCCCAGATCCATGCAGCTGGGAGCTGTGCCTGTACCAGCACCACTGCCATGTCTCCCTGGCTGCAGCGCAGGCATAGCTTCCAGCCCATGGAGAGCTGCACTGGGGCTGGGCATCTACAAATGGCATCTGCACTGCTGCAACTTCTCCCTGATCTCCCCCAACCCTGGCTGCAGTGCAGGCACAGCTGGAAGCTGCCTGTCCCTGCCCTGGCACTGCTGCTTGCTAGCTAGCCTCATTGTGGGCGCGGGCAAGGACAATGCCTTCCAGCTCAGCAGGCTTCACAAGCTGTATGTTGCTGACCCCTGGTCTAATGCTTAGCACCCGGCCCGGGGGGTTCTGTTCATAGCTGTGCAGTGCAGTGCTACAGGGGCGGCCAACCTGCAGCATGGGCATCACAAGTGGCTCAGGCCGTCTCTGTGTGGCACATGGCAGATTGGGGAAGGGTACAGGAAGCAGAGCAGCAGATCAGGCACAGAGCACAAGGCAGGGGGCAGAAAGTAGGACAGCAGGTTGGGCTGAGGAAGAGGATCAGAGTGGCTCTTAGGGTGGGTGTGGGGCTAACTTATAGCACACCTGCCAAAAAAGCAGCCCCCCACTGTTGTACTATATGTATGTTTTGAGACTCAATGTCCCCCTGTGAAACAGGGGACATGTACCCCCTGTGGGAGGGCTGAGGCTTTATTTCAGAGTGAGGTGCAAAGTGCTTGGAGGTCAGATGGCCAGAAGTACTACTTTTTATCAGTAAAAGCCTTTTCTCTCTACTAAATGTCACCAGCACAGCAGGATTCCCCTGCAACCCTCCCTTCCCATCTGACCGGCACTCATGTGCTCCCTCCCGATCTATTCCTGCAGTCTGTTTATCGATGGCGACCGCATGACAGACCCGGCTGTGAGGGAGCATCTGCAGCTCGATTCCACCCTGGACCCCGAGTTTAAAATCCAGGTGGTGCCGTATGAGTCGATCCTGACGGAGCTGCAGGCCATCTGTGCTGGTCTCTCTCCCAAGGAGAAAGTGTGGCTTACCGACAAAGCCAGCTATGCCCTGACCGAGGCCATTCCCAAGGTTTGTGTGTCCTGGCAAGGGAGGAAGACCCCTCCTTGAAATTCCGTCCTACTGCAAGTGGTTTTAATTAAGGCACCTGCTCTTGGCTTCCCCTCAGCGCCAAGCAAGGGCTGCGGGTCTCGTTTCCTACAGGAGAGCGGCTTTGAAGACGGTGCCAAGCTAACAGAGGGCTGCTTAATGCTGAGTTTGCTGTCACTGGAGCAGGCCTTGCAGCTTGTTAAGCTGATTTACCCGAAGAATTGTCAGATTAAGACAAAATGAGCACGCTGTGGGCGGAGGGGTGGGGTGATCTGGGTGAGGTAAGGTCACTGCACTTGCAGCTTGAGAAGAGTGCACATGCGGACAAGGAATAGGAGCAGCTTTATTCAATGTGCCTTAAAAGTCAGCAGTGGATTGGTTCTCCTTCTGTGTTACAGACTTGTAGTATAGGGGCAAAAAGTACAGGGCCTGACATATTCAACAGGGGCAATATCCGAGTGATGCAGGACTTGTCTCCATGCAGTGAGGAATTTCACAGAGCAGCTGGCTGCATGAAATAGCTGGTTGCCCTTACAATGGGCGAGCCGGTCTGCTTTCTGACGCACTTAAACTCTGAATTGCTTTAATCCTCCCATGTGTAGTAGTGCTTGGACCAATCCCTTCTGGGATTCCTGAAGCCCTTTTTTCATAGGTTCTGTTTTCCCACTATGGAAAATCATAGTCTTCCTTAAACACAACCTGCTTATTGAAGGAAATGGCTGCACCCACAGACAAACAGACTTCCACATAGCTTGAGTTCCAGCTGTATTTTGGCCCTGTTTACCAGGGACCCCACCTTGTCTCTGGCATGCCACACAGACGCATCTAGTGGAAGATACTGCAAGGTAGCATAGTGCTTTCAAGTGTTGTTGCTGGCGGCAAGGACTTTTGGGTTATTTCTAGATTGGGAGCACTGTCAATTAGGATGGCCAGGTGTAGTTGCAGTGCTCCCAGAGAGGGGAATGGTTGCATCCTCTGTTAGTTCAGTGGACCTGAGTTGACTTTGCCTATGCGTCTTAACCTCTTGACACAAAGAGCTTGGGTCATTAAGGCCCAGATTCTGTTAGGTTGGTAAGTGGTGCCCAGTGGGTGCATTTGGCGTGAATTATTCATTGGACAAAATGGGTAGACAGCAGTGGGGGCACCTTCCCTATGAGGGCAGCACCCACAACTCTGAGACACAGCCAGGCTCCCTCTCCCCCGCAGCTGTCCTTGCCAACTAGTGGGCTGTCTTCAACAGAAAGAGTGGAGGGTGCTCTGGCCCTGCCAAGCCTTTGTGGCCACCCACTGCCCTGGAGGCAGGAGGGATGGGTTCAAACCCCCTCTAGGCTGAGGAGGGGGGCCTAGAATCTGGGTCTCCCACTTCCTGGGGAAGTGGCTTAACCACTAAGGTGGGATAGGATCACCACAGAGCACAAGTGGCCGAAGTGGATCCCTTCTGAGCCTGCTTAGAAGGACAAGATGAATTGTGAACCTAAAATCTGTGTAACGGGCCCTATGTGTCACAACTAAAGTTGGCCATATGTAGCCTACCTGCCTGCCTAAAAGGGGAGCTGCACTTGTACCTGCATAGGGGCACAGCACTTAGCACTCAAATCCTGTTGACAGGATTGGGCCTGAAACATGCAAAAAGGGTCGATGCCCTTCTCGTGCAAAAAGCCCATGGGTTTTTATGAGTTAGGTAGGTTTTACATCATCTGAAAGACTCATCCTCCAAGCAGCAGAGGCTCTTAATGTCTCGCCACCTTGTATGCAACTAGACAGGCTCCAGTTTGTCCAGTTACACATGCTGGTCAGTCTGGCTAGGGAAGCCAGAAAAGGGTGTTGTTTTTCTCTGAGTGACAATGACATTTGATTATATAGAACAGCAATTTCTTTCCTCTTCCCACTGGGGCAGATGGATATACTGAATAGGATCCTGTGCTCTGTGCCTGTCTGCCAGCTCTTAAGGGATATGCACTTTGCCTTATATCGTGTGTAAGCCAGGTAAAAGTTCCCTGTCCCTCTGCCCAGTTAAACATGCCACCCCAGCAGTGTTGGAGACATTGCTTGGTTCCTGTTGCTTCTCAGCTAGGAAATCGTTGCCAAGTGCTAACGTGCTCTATGACACAGCTCCCCACAGTAACTAGGTTTGCTTGTTGGGGGAAGAAGGACGAAGGGGCTGGAGCTGCAGCTGAGTAAATCGATGCACTTGTGTTGTCTTCACCAAATGCTCAGCCAGCTTAGTTGAATGCAGAGTGCCTGGTCCTCAGCTGATGTGAATTGTCAGAGCCCAGTGGAAGTCAGTAGGGCCATGGCCATGTATGAAGCCGAGGCTCTGGCTCCTGGGAGGAAATGCTGGTATTTTTATATTTTCATTACATCAGTTTTGTAAGGCTCCAGCTACACCACGGCCCCACGCTAGACATGCTGTATATACATAATGAGCGATAATCCTTGCCTTAAAGAGCCCTAAATAGACAAAGGATAGGAGGGGGCAAAAAGAAGTGGAGTGATTTGCCCAACATCAGACTCAAGGTAGTCTTGCTCCTTGTCCTGTGTTCAGGCCACTGCCTCTGTGCCACTTTATATCTGCTTAGATATATCTGCTTAGATAGAAATATGCTTAGAGCATATTGCTTAGAGCAGGGATGCTCAATCCTTGGCCCATCAGCCAGGTCTGGCCTGTGGAGCTGTTCTCCGGCCTGCTGGGCTCCCCATCGGTCCAAAATTTGGGGACAGGGCAGAAGTGGCAGTGTTAATTGGTGCCAAATTTCTGGACCTGGGGAACACTGGTGGACTGGTTATTGTGGGCCTGAGTGCTAGGGTGGGTGTGCAGGACTGAGTTGGCAGTGAACCAGCTCCTGGCACGTGGGGCTGGGCCAAGGCAGTGCAGGGCCTGATCCAGGCACATGGGCCCCAACTGCACTAGGGATCTGGCTTATGGACCAGCACATGCCACTCATCTGGCCTCTGGAGCTGAAAGGTTGGGCACCACCGGCACAGAGTGCTTTAAAGGCTGCTGATATGCTGCTTGGGATACCATACGGGTGTTGATCACACTTCATCCAGGCCACATACCAGTGTTGGCAAGAGGCCTGTGTATCCTGTAACAGACCTTGCAAACTCTTCAGCATAAGTAAACTCTTAACAGAAGAGAAATAGACCCTGACTGTGCAGAGAGGCCAGACCCCAGTTGGAGGTTGATACCAATGGGGAACCGCCTGCAGACTCCTGATCAGATTCTGGCACAAGCTAGGGATCCTGGGGAGAGTCTTAACTTAAACTCTGGGTGTAACATCCCTCAGGCCAGCAGAGGAGTGAGCAAACAGAGCTTTGTCATGCTTCCTCCTTCCTGGTCCTACTTGCAACACATCCCTTCATGCCATTTCGCTGGGAGTAGCTGGTATAAGAGACGATAGCACCATTTCTGTCAGTTTTCTATGCTAGTTCTGCACCAGGAGAATCCTTCACTGGCCATCTCTGCCTACTCTGTCTGCCATGGTTGTCCCAAGAGCAGCACAAGGATTTCAGTATGGTACATGGCTGAATTTTAGTTTCTTCTTTGAGTGATGATGAAGACTATCAAGCCTCTTGGGATGAAGCCATTACTTCCCCGTGTACCATGCAGAGCTTAGCCAACTCAACCTAAGACAAAAGCTGTTAGTTGAAGGGTACTGTAGAAGAGCAAATAGCGACTGTTCTAAAATCAAAGGTATTACATCGTCAAGATGAGTTAGTTGGTCCAGATTGCCTGTAATTCCTGCCTGTCTGCTCTAGGTTCACCGATACCTCACCCCGTACACACCCATCTGCATGGGAAAAGCTGTGAAGAATGAGGCCGAAACAGCGGGCATGAGAAGAGCACATGTAAGTGATACTGAGATCCTATCTCGCTACATCCAGCGTCCTGCAGACAGCGCTTTGCTTTCAGGCCTGGGGTTGTGTTTCCAGTGGATGCAATTCACTGTGAATTCAAGAGCCACTCAGGATTTGGATGGCCTGCTGGAATATTTTTCTCTTTCCTCACCTTTTGCCAGGTGTCTACCACCATTAGTGCAGGTTTTCTGCTCAGTTACTTGATGCACCCTTAAAGCTGTGGATGGCATGTGTAGTAGTGCTAGTAAGTGCCCTTGTGCTGAATGGGAACTACCTCGTGTTCAACGTAGTGCTGTTGGCTGTGAGCCCTTGGGTGGACGCCATATTTGAACAGGTCTTAGTTCAATGGGTCCCTGGTCCCAGTTAGGCCTTTCCCCCATTGGCATTGCATCTGTTACCCCTGTACAGACATGTCCGAATAATGCCATGGAATAGAGAATAAAGAACCAAAAGAATCCCCTCCAAACGAACATATAAAGCCCTCTGACCAAGCCAGTCTCTAGTGTTTAGTCATTTTGGCTGTCATGATTTTTGGGTGGCCAACTTGACACCCTGAACTGGGACTGATCTTTTTGAAAGGGCAGCATTCCCAGCCTGAGAAAAGTCAGGCTCAGGTTGGGCCACCAAAATCATCTGTCACTTTTGACAATCTTGGCTCTTCTTTCCTTCCTTCTTTGTAAACTTCAAGCATCCGTTTTCTTCAGAAAGGATGTGGACAAATTGGAGAGGGCAACGATACGGATTGGGGGCTGGGGCACATGTCTTGTGAGGAGAGACAGAGGGAACTGGGCTGATTTAGTCTGTGGAAGACAAGACTGAGCGGGGATTTGATAGCAGCCTTCGCCTCCCTGCAGGGGGGTTGCAAAGAGGATGGAGCTGGACTGTTCTCAGCGGGGGCAGATACAGGACAAGGAGCAATGGGCTCAAGCTGCAGCAAGGGAAGTTTAGGTTGGATATTAGGAAAAACGCCCGGTAGGAGGGTAGTAAAGCACTGAAACAAGTTACCCAGAGAAGCTGTGGACTCTCCATCCTCAGAGGTTTTTAAGACCTGGCTAGACAGCCTTGGCTGGGATGATGTAGTTGGGGCTGGTCTTGCTTGGAGCAGGGGGTTGGACTAGACGTGACCTCCTGAGCTCCCTTCCAAGCTTTGTTTTCTATGATTCTGTGGTACTGTTTCTGGGCTTTGAGTCCCCAAGCTCAGAGCCGTTCTGGATGGACATTGAGCATCTGTGCATATTTTATGATTCCCATCTAATTTTTGGCTTATGGCTGTGTCTACACCGTGCCAGCTGCTTCCCCAGAATTGGTACATCTGCTGCACACACTGCCAGGGAGCCAGCCTGACCCACAGCCTTCATGGCCATTTCACATTTGCAGACTGCAAATTCAATTAAAGCCTTTAAAGACCTGGTCCATGAAGGTGCCGAGTGGGGTGGAGCTCTCCCAACACCCAGCTCAAACTAGGCTGTCAGGAGATGTGATACACTAGATGCCTCATGATTAATGTATACATAGACATGTGAATTGGCTACATCATGAAAGTACAGAGTGTTTTTTAGTTCAGATTCCAGATGCAGATATTCTTGGATCAATCTCTTCTACTGATGACCCATCCCCAGGATGTTGCAGAGACGCTGCAAAAACCATAGTCACATAAATGGGAGGAAAGAGCAGACCTAATTAAACATTTAAACCAGCTGTAGCAGGGGGCTGAGACCAAAAGCAGCTAGGCCTATCTTTGCCAGTGAGTCCCTTGGCCAGTCTTGGGCACACCACTTCATCTCTCTGAGCCTCAGTTTACCCTTCAGAGAACTCAGGCCCTCTTACAAAAGATGCATTGGGAGGTGTTGCTGGCATCAGGCTTGCGCTTGGCAATCCCCGGTGAGCTACAGCTCCTCTGCAAACCTTTATTAACATTTATTTTATTGATCTGGTACGGTACATTTCCAGTGCTGACATTAATCACAGAAGTTAGAGACTGGAAAGACCTCTTAGATCAACTAGCTCATCTCCCTGCCAGTGTGTACCCAGTGTTCATATCTAATTGCCTTGTATAAAAAAGACTGTCTCCATTGAAGCTTTATAAATCTTACATGAACTCAATTACTTTTTTTTTTTTTTTTTTTACTTTACCCACTTTAAAATAGATTAAAGATGCTGTTGCCCTGTGTGAGCTCTTTAACTGGCTGGAGAAGGAGGTACAGTATTAATCTCTCATTTTTTAACTTAGGGATTTTATTGCATAATAAAATTCTTCATTAGCATAAACTTGCAAGTGGTCATGAATATTCTTTAGAGCACTTAAAACTGTTGTTCTCTGGTAGGTTTTGCGGTTTCTGTTTTTCACCGTTTGATGTTGTGGGTTTGTGTCTGATTTCCAGGCAAGGCTGGAGAAATTTTTCAAACAGGCTGGCTTTTATCCTGGAGACAGGCTGGATAAAAGGCTGGCTTTTATCTGAGGTGGGCAAAAGGCAGAGCCATCTAACCCTTATATAATGCGCAGTGTTACAGGGCCATTCTCAGAAGAGCCCCTGGTGTTCAGTGAGTTCAGTTAGGTGCCTACATCCCATTGACTTAACCTATAAAATCCCCTGGCTGCTTACTGGCAACTTTAGGTATTTCAGTACCCTGGTAAGTCTGGCCTCATGTAATGATTCCTGCTTCTTGTTCCTTCCTTTGCTTGCTGTGCAGGCTTGGGAGAAATAGGTTACCTCTGTGGTACATTTTCCCCATCACTGAACTGGCTGTAACATGCATCTCCCCTTTGTTTGGCAACATGTTTTGAGGTCTGCGCAAAAAAGCATTTGTGCTAAAAATGTAGAATACTGAAAAAAATGAGTTAAATCTTGTTTACATCATTTACATCTACTTTACATCATTTCTGGTGTCATAATATTTGCATTTCAGCTCAAGGCCTGATCCAGCAAACAGCTACTGGTGTGTAAAATGAGATCTTGCTACAAGGGGAGTTTTAGGTTGGATGTTTTAACTTGGAAGGTGGTTAAGCACTGGATCAGATTACCCAGCAAGGTGCTGGAGTCTCTGGCAAGGTTTTATGTGCATGTTAGACAAACATTTGTCTGGGATGGTTTAGGGAGGGATGACCTTGCTTTGAACAGGCTGCAGGACTAGATGACCTCTTAGGTCCCTTCCTGCTTAGTTTTTCTAGGATTCTGTATGTGTAACTTTGCCTTTGATGTTCAGATGTGAGACCGGGTTCTGTAAGGTGTAAATACCAAGCGTCTCTCATCATTTCTTTCATTTTCTTTGCTAGTTGACTTGCTAATGTAACCCAAATCTTGTCTGTTAGGTTCCAAAGGGCACTGTGACAGAAATATTTGCTGCAGACAAAGCAGAGGAGTTTCGTAGGTAAGGTAAAACCACCACTCAGGAATTTTTTCTGCCCCCTGGCTCTTTTTTGTCTTTTGCTGCCTTATTTGACTATTTAGAAAACTAACTCCTCCCCAGGTGCATGTTACCTGATGAGAAACTGCTTTGCAAGGGTGTTTTACTATGGGTCGTAAAGGGGACGGGGTTTTACCATGCACCTGCTGCGCCTTGGTAACTGTCTGTGTGCATGCTCCTACCCTGTGTTATTTGGAAGCTAAATCACCATTGCTTAGCCATCAGTGAAGGAAGGCTGTGGGGAGGAACAAGTCCTGACTGCCTGGATCCTACTTGCCACTCTTTGCTGCTGCTGGTTCCTGACACTTTGCACAGTAGAAGGAAGGCAGTTTGGATTGTGACGGTTGAGCGAGTAGGCAAGGTGGTCTCGTAATCCAAGTCACATGATTGCGTTTAGGGAGTATAAGTCTTGCTTTCCCCATCGGTAGGATGAAGATCACTTTTCTTGTATTCAGAGGACAATTATGAGGGAGTGGGATTCTCCAGTTGGCTTAGGCTTCCAACACGACTTTTATAAAGCAAAGCATCTGGGCCATTCGGGTCCATGAGGAGCTTGGATTCTGCACACGTGCTTAGATGCCATACTAAAAATGACTGTGAATAAATGTGTATGAATTAGGCTTGCAATTTTAAGAACCATGAGCTGGAGAGGACGTTGGTGCCCTGGGCTGCGTGGGGATTGAGGTAGTTAGGTACTGCTGAGGACCGACTGAAGATAGCGGGCAGGAGCCCAGCTAGTTAGGGGACAGAGGCCTAATGTGCTTGAGTCCTGTACCTCTTTAAAGTCACCTCAGTGGAGAAGCTTGTTCTGATGGCTCTACAGGACTAAAGTGTTCTTTAGGTGGATGGAAACATTTTGGGGCAAGTGGGCTGGAGGGGGAGAAGGAGGTTATGAGGCTTCCTGTGACTGCCGTTACGTAGATGGTGCTGGTGATCCCAACTTCCTCTGGCCTTTTGCTCTTGACTGATGTAACCATGCTGTTTCCTTCCAGCCAACAGAATGACTTTGTGGAGCTGAGCTTTGCTACGATATCGAGCACTGGCCCAAACGGCGCTATCATTCACTACAAGTAAGAGAACGGCAGCTCATGTGTTTCTTCAGCAAGTGCGCTTACAGCATCCTGAATTGCTGCTGCTTGGATTCGCAGCTGAGTATAGACAAAAGGAAGTATTTGGTTCAGCTAAGGAAAAATGTCCCTGTTGATCATCTTTGGGCAAAGTGTCCTTGCCCCTGGACAAAGACCCAGATGCACCAGCTGGGACTGTCCATTGGACCACCATGGAGCCATCTGAGGTGGTAGCTAGTTCAGCCCAGACAGTGGGCCATAATCCGCTGTTCGAGCTGGGAGTGGAGGTGAAACTGATAGTTCATTGTAACCCCTGGCATGAAAACAGCCTAAATGTTTAGGCCTTGGCCATGCAAGGGACAGTGAAGATTTTCTTTGTTTCCACCCCTGCATTCACCAAGCCTTGATCTGGAGACTTGTGTTGCTGGATGCAGGAAAGCTCAGCCACTTGCAGCTGCCTGTTGAGGTGACTTGTTTGATGAGGTTATTGCTAGGTACTTTGCAGAGTGCTGGCTCCTGTTGACAGGTGGGGAAGGGGGGTGGGTTGTTCGCCTGTTTGAAGGTGAAGGTGAGGGAGGAAGCTGTGCTGAAATGGGGTCAGGTACACATGCTGAGGATTTAGCTGGAAGGAACATACCCATCCTTAAGCCCTTCGTGGAATTTGCTAAGGCTAAATACACTCATCCCTACATCCCCCAGCTCAGTACTTAATGCAAATTCCATCATTTAAACAAGAAAGTGGAGGCAGCAGGTCTAACCTTGCACTTGACATTGCAGTTGAGCAGGGACTGTGGAAAAGATATGTTATAATGATGGGACAAATAACTTTTCATTTAATCTAACAGGCCAGTTCCTGAGACCAACAGAACCTTGTCCGTGAGTGAGATCTACCTCCTGGATTCTGGAGCTCAGTACAAGTAAGTGGATTCGAGTTGCTGTTACGCTTAATTCAGATACACTCCACAAGAACTACTGCCCTTTGCTAAGAGTCTGCAGGGCTGGATGCTTCATAGCTTTGATAAATGTTGCAAAGCTGGACATGCTGCGACGTGCCGTGCAGTTGTTTCTAAAGGCATTTCTCTACCGTACCCTTGTCCTTCGGAAGGTCTCGATGGCCTCAATGAAGCTTTCATGAGGAAATGGAGTAATTATCTTTAAAAATAAAAAATGTTTCTAGGTCGCCAGCATGAATGTAGTTCAGGTCAGCCGGCTCTGAACTGGCTGCCTGTTGCCCTCGAGTGAAATGAATTGGGGTCTTGTTGGCACCCTCGTTGGAGAGACAAAGGAGTGAATGGCTTATTGTTGTGGTGGCTTACATGTGAATGTGTGAAGGAGGCTTCCCTGGTCAAACCTTGCTGTGTAACGCCTGCCAGCATCCTTGCACACTGAAGAAGTTGTGTTGCTGTATCTCTTTGGGAGCACAGCAGGATGGGAAGTGGGATTCAGAGCTGCAGCCCTCCTTTGCCTGTCTCAGGTCTAGCAGGGATGGAGTCAGCTACTGTCCTTTGCTAGCAGCTGCTTTAGATGACCTCACTTTCTGTGATATTTCAGCTGTGCTAGCTGGGGCTTTGGGGAGCCAGGTTAAAACTGTCCATTCTCTGCCTTACTTGCTCACTTCTTACCCTCTGCATATGAGGGATGAGAAGCAGTCCTGCAGACCTGCTCTATCTCTGTACACTTCAGCTGGTGAGGCAGGCTGTCCTGCTCAGCTGGGGAAGGAGGCCTTCAATCGGCAACACATTGGTCCAGTGATAAGAGGAAGCCAACACAGGGAGGTCTGGGAAGAGGACATCCCCATTCTGTGTTGTTATGGGGTTCATGTGTTGTCTGGCTGGTCAGTAGAGTCCTGGGTTTGGGATTCCTTTCCCTAGAGGTAGTTCATGTCTTGGGCGTATGGTTGGTGAGAGCTACGTTATCTTCGTGCATGTTTGACAGCTCTGGTCTGTAGCTTCAGTCTCAGGTTGTTTATCCTGAGACCTGTCACAAGCACTAACTTCATTAAAAATGAAAGAAGGGACATTTTTATCAGCGTAAATAGATTAGAAGCACTTTGTTCAGCAAGAGAGCAGAGCAGACCTGATGGGTCCTCCGAGAGGAATCGTCTCCTTTGAGCTCTGGCGTTTGTTAGCAGCCTTTTCTAAAGGGCTTTGAAAAGGAGCCGTGTGAACGCACTTTGATAAGATTTCGACAATGAGATCTTTCCCTTGGATGGCCTAATTAACGATTCCCTTAGTGTCACAATGAAAAGCAGCCCCTTGAATAAAATATGAGTGGGACATCAGTGGCATTCGCCACATATCAGGGCAGAGAGGCTGAGCATGACACTGCCTAGAAGGTAAATCATGCATTCTTTATGCCCACAGTCTGTGTGCATCATCTCAAGTAGATGCATAGGGACAGATGTTTCAAGCCTAAATGCTCATTTTGGGGCCTCTTGGGTTTATGAGTGCCAAACCAGAGCTGATTGTCAGAGAGCAAGTTCTTGTCACTATCTCAGGGGTTACTTTTAAACATACTGGGTTGTAGTGTCTGGAGGGCAAAGTAGGCACTAATCCCATTGACATTTTTTTTTGCAGCCATTAGCTGTCATTGGTACATCCTTTTTTTAAGAACACGGTAACTGTTCTAACTTGTCTTTGTACAAGTGAACTGTAATTCTTCCTTCCCTTCGGTGTGGTGTAAATGTGCTGTGCATGATGTACCCACCCTCAAGTTAGCTGCATTTTAGTGCTACTCTACATGTCTAAGAGCTTTGGTCTCCTTTGGGATCCAAGATGACATTTGAGTTGTAAACAATATTGTTTCTTATAGCTGTGCTCAAGAATTCATAGATTTCAAGATAAGGCAGGCTGGAGAATTTCATCCAGTGTTTCCTGCTGTGCTTACATTAATGGGAAATGACCAGCATTATTAGAAGGGTAAAAATGAATTCTTTCCATTCTGATATTCCTGGTTCCTCTCTTTTACATTGCGTGACTTTGCTCTTGTTTGGAAGAGACGGCACGACGGATGTGACTAGGACAATGCATTTTGGCACCCCGTCAGCGTATGAAAAGGTAATCGGACGTCTCGTGCTTTGCCATTGGGACCATAGTACTAGAAATAGTGGAGCAATCATTGCTTTTAAATGGACGGTTTAAAGAAAACTGTAAAAATTAGAACTAGAGAACCAGTTCAGTCCTGTGGAATCAGAGCGATGTGCTGTATGCCAGCCAGCTGCCCTGAGAGTGATTCGAAAGGAAGCTGGGAGTATTTAGACTTCCAAAATTTACCCTCCATAAATTATAGAACAGCATATTTGCCATCTCAAAATCAAACTTCCCCCACCCTGGCCCCTGAGAAGACCCTCACCCTGTTTGGTGGAAGCATGTCACTTAACTGACTCCACTAACGAGCCTTAATGTGACAAGAATGTACACAATCAGTTTGTGTCATGTAGGGTTAACCAAAGTCAGTTTAAAAATCAACTCTGGGTTCAACCTGGTTTACATGATTTTAAGCTAGTATTTAGCCAGTGTAAATATGTTTACACTGATGCAACTAAATCTATTTAAAATCCCATTTCTAATGATACTAATGCAGTTTTGCAGTTACACTAGGTCTCAGTCTGTCTGTCTAGATACACTTATCACTGCAATCTCTCTGCCATGCCCTCTGTGCTGTTTCTGGGCACAGGCCTAGCATGGAAATGTGCAGGACCCTTGTATGTATGTATGTAACCTTGCACTGAGTCATTCTGTGGCATACGGAAAGTCATTTAAATACGCAATTCTGTTCTGCAAGGTTTTATAGTATATTAGGGAAATACAGGCACAAGGACTCCAACAAAAACAGCTGTATGTTCTGGGGGAATCTGTCAGAGTCCACCTGGTTCCTGCCCGAATCCATTTAAAAAGCGTTACTTGCCATGTCATGTTTTCTGCTCAGAATCGATCTTTTCATCCTGCTTCTGTTTTGTCTCATAGAAAGCAGGGGCGGGGTCTTCAGGAAGTCTCTGTAATGCTTTAGTGACCTACAGGATGCAGCTTTTTCTTCAAAGCTGGTGAAGAATGATGCTTTCCGTCTTACTCCATTGTGTTTCCTTGGCAGGAGTGCTTCACCTATGTCCTGAAGGGCCACATTGCTGTGAGCGCAGCCATCTTCCCAAATGGAACCAAAGGTTGGTTGCTGATTGTCCTGAGCAGACAGGAGGGCTGATGATGGTAGTGCCTGAAGGATCAGGTGATCATTTAGAAGAGAATGAAGCTTGACAGCTTCAAGTGCAGTAGGCAAATGTAGCAATCTTTTATCGTGGGTCTCTATGTAACCATCAAGTCGGATTATGCTTATTGATCTGGCTTTTCTAACACCAGCTGGCACTGAATTCCTTGAGTCGACACGTGAGCTAATGGGACATTGCAGCTCTCTTTAGTTCAGAAGTTGTAACTTTTCATTGCCAATTGCATTATAAGATACCTGTGACCACCTAGAACTTTGCTGCTGTTTTTGCGCTATATAGCATGGCTACTGTAAACTCCATGGCCTTAGCAAAGAGATAACTCAGATCTCCTGCTTTAGAAGGGCAGACTGTTGCTTCTTGAGCTAATGGAGAATCTCCTTTTAGCTGTTAAGAGTATGGGGTCCATATTGCACAAAGAAGCTATTCTGATTCCACCCAGTAGAGGACAATGGTACATGCATGTTTGCACGCACACATGCACGGGCACATGCATGCACAGAATTTGTTGCGGTATTATTTTTTCCAGTGTGAGATACCATTTTAGAATTGTTCACTGTTTGCCTTTTTGAGTGGGTGGGAATACATCAACAGAAACAAGAACCTGAAGCAAAAAGCAGAGAGCATTTAAAATGGCAGAGGCTAGATTTTCACATACGGGCACTGAAACTGATGGGCAAGCTCCCCATTTTGGTGCTCTAGTTAACTTGTGATTAAGAGAACAAAACGGCCATCCCTTTTCGCGCGATGCAACAACTACATCTCCAGTCCTGCCTACAGGGCGATATCTTTTGAAGAGGAGAGAGCGTTGCATTGTCTATAGGCCATCCGCCCTCTGGGTTCGGTATCGAGTGTGATGACAACGAGGGTGGTTGTTTCAATAATGCAGACACCTGGGGAGGACCTTGTGACTAGGACAGCTACACTAAGTTCCTTTACTTGAAAACAGACACCATCTACGAAGCCTCACCATAGTACCTGTTTTATAACTCGTAATAGCTTGGGCTTTTACAACTCTCCCGTACCCTGACTATGGTCTGAGCTGCCAGTGGGATTCACAAACTCTCTGTCATCCAGCGTGTGCAGTTCTTGCTAAGTGTCTGCTTCTTGCCCTTGCCCTGCAGGTCACCTTCTGGATTCCTTTGCCCGCTCTGCCTTGTGGGACACTGGCTTGGACTACCTGCATGGAACGGGACATGGAGTCGGGTCTTTCTTGAACGTGCATGAGGGCCCATGTGGCATTAGCTACAAAACCTTTGCTGACGAGCCCCTGGAAGCTGGCATGGTTGTCTCTGATGGTATTCAGCCCCACTAACTATATGGTTGGAGCAGGACAAACTGCTTAGGGAAAATGTCTGAAAAGCAGTGGAGAGGGATGTTTCCTGCCTTATCAGTCTGCCAAGTAATTCCTACTTCAGGATATCTAGAGGAAGACCTGACTAAGCTGGGACAAGTTTAAGACCCCCACAGTCCATCGGGATGCCACAGGCCTGATTCCCGGTTCGTCCCTGTGTCACTGTTAGTCTGGAGATACGCTGATGGGAAACCAGGTTAGGTGGTAAGGTAGGCCAGGGAACAGTCTCTCATTCTTCAAGGAAATGTTTGTTTTTAGCTGCAGCAGAGACAGGGGCATCTAAACTCCGAGGAGCTAATCCCAGCTTTGTCACTGGACCATGCAGCAGTCATTTAACCTTCCCATGACTCTGCTTCCCTAGCAGTGTGATAAAATACACCGGGGAAGCCAAACTTCCTAACTCTACTAGTCACCAACCAAAATCCTGACGTGCCCGAGAGCCAGTGGTAGGGCACAACACGTTCCAGACAGGCATGCTCCAGAGTCAGTGGTTTGCAGATAGTGCCTCTGCCTATTGGAGGCTATAGGATGTTGAAAGTGGGGTGTGGATGCTAAGGGCCCAGTGCTATATTCCTCAGTTTGAGATCAATGCAAAAACAAATATAATTTTATTGGAATGCACATTAGATTTCCTGCCTTTTATATAAAGTTTATAAAACACAACACACTAGGCATAAATAGTCCAAAGATATTACTGTATTTAGTCTCATACAAGACGCCCCTGATTATAAAACCAGTAATCCCCTCCGAATAATTAGATTTGATATATGGAAAATTTATGAATTTGATATAATTTTCCAGTATGAAATCTAATTATTGGAGGTTTGTCTTGAATTTGTCCCTCCCCTCTGACTACAGCAGGGAAAATAAATCTGGATTCAAGTTGCTTTTACACTTACTTCAGATAGAATCCACAAGTAACTCTGCCTCCCTCCAACTTCCCCCTGTAGTCCCTTCCCCCCTTCTAACGTCAGACCCTGCTTTCCCTGAGCACATGGAAGTGAGGAGCAAATTGGAAAAAAACTGACTTTGAAATAAACATAACTGTAGTACTTTGCATATAGTACCCATCGGTTTAGTTCATCCAGAATTGATGCGTGTTCCCTTTTTTGAAACTGCTGCAAGTTTTAGCAGAGGTGCTCTATAGACACACTTTTAAGTAGCATTTTGTCACCTACTTCTATATAGCACAAACTATGCATGATACTAATCCAAAGCCAAAGGCTCAAGATTTACCGTATAGTTTTATTGGGCTGGGCCTCAGCGAAGTCAACAGCATTTCAAGCCATGACAACCCCATAGCTCAGCACTGCTCAGTATATGTGTGCACTCCACATGCTCCCCACCCCCAAGAGATTCATGTACTAGTTATTCGCCACTTGTGACTCCTGGGATCCTCCAAAAAAAAATATATGCAGATGAGGTTCAGGGCTACCTGGTCTAGTACCACCTCATGGGGGGCAGGGCCACACTAATCATGTGTGACAGGCTGAGCGAGGGGGCAACAGAGGGGTTCTGGGTGAACTGTTTGGGATCCTGTTTGGTGATGTTTACCAGACACGTAAGGCAGGTGAAGAAAAAGGAATTATTGGAAATGGGAAAGAAAGACTGCTCAGCAGTGGGAGTGGAGAGTATATCAAAATGTGTGCAGTGTAGTGGCTCACCATGACTTGGAAAAGAGTCAGTACTGAGGGGGACGGTGCTCAATGGGCATAACCATATATATCTTACTCAGATGCGCTGTACTGACCTATCCTTGTGGTAGGTTCCCATCAGCATGTTTACCCAATATGATCCATGAATGTATAGTCATGCATAGTGTTGGCTGCATTTAATCAACTTCAGAGCTAGTTTCTATTACTAAGTATGTGCTGCTTTTAGCAACAGTTCAAAGACAGATAATGTATTTAAAGAGGTTTCCTTGTATGCATATGTAAGATGAGGGTTTTTGTCCTCCGTTCTGACTGGCAGGGGGAATTAACCTTGTCTTATAGTCAAGTAAGTATGGTATTTTATTAGTCATATAGTCATTACAGTTAAATATACTTCTTTTATTCAGTTTCATAGAACAAAATCCAGTCTCCATGAGCGACTTGACAGTGTATCCAACACATCACTGTCAGTCATTTTCACACTTGAGTTAAAATGTTCAGCTGTGTTAATACTACCACACCTGAGTTAAGGTTTTCAGTTGCAGGGTGCAGGGCTGCAACAGTGCACAGAGCTATGAAATAGGAGAGAGAGAGAGAGATTAGTTTACCAGGAATAGCAAGACAGCAAAATTTCAGAAGAAAGGATAAACTTGATTAATAGAACATTAAGACCATTAAAAAGGAGATGTGGTCATTGACACCAGTTGAGTGAAGAAAGATTAGCAGGAATCAGGTACATTATAATGAGCCATGAAGTCGATGGATTCCCTCAGCACTGCTTGAATGGAAATGCTGCTGCCTTTTCTGGGCAGCTGGTTTTGAAGTTTGGCTGGAGAAGGAATCAAAGGGGGTTGCAACTGCTTTTCTACAGCCCCCTGTATCCGCCCCTGCCCAAATCGTTTGTCATTATGTGACTTTCATCAGGAGCCACATTTAAACTTATATGTAACTAGCTTCTTCCTGAAGGATGGTAAGACTTCATTCAAGTTAGTAAGACCCTTCAGTAGAAATCTACTGGAAACAGTGGGCATCCTTTAAAACGGGATGCTTTTCTTTCCTTTTGGGATGTGGATGAAGAGAATTCCTGTAGAATTCTGGTCAGCCAAACACATGTGGTGCATAATTTAATTTCTTCTCTTGAGTTCAGTCATTCCCCATGCTCAGGGTCTTCTCTCTGTGTGTGAACGTTATCAGTCACACTGATTTAATATCCATGGCGATTGGGTGAAATATAACATTTCACCTCTTTAGTCACCATACATATTAAGAACGTTTAGCCACCTGGATTAACCAGTGCCTCTGCAGGACATTTACCCATTGCAATAAGTATCTATCTACACAGTGTTGCAAGGACTGATTGATTATCATCTCTCTTTGCAGAGCCTGGATACTATGAAGATGGGTCTTTTGGGATCCGAATAGAAAATGTAGTTCTCGTGATCCCTGCTGAAACCAAGGTGAGTGGCTGTCTTGGGCATTGCCCGAGTAGCCCCTTCTCACTTTTCCATGAGTTGGTGTTTGCAAAAATGTTAACCTCTCTTGCATTTGAATTAAACAAATGAGAACTGGAGGCAGGACAATGCTGTGGGCAGCTGAGTTGTGGCTTTGCCACTGGACTGAGGGACTCTACTTGCACATGCTCTTCTCCAGAGAAACCTATAAAGAGCTTTTCTTTAAAGTGAAGAATGATTCTAGGTCTCTCCTTGTAAACAGAAATACTGAGGACAATGCTGCTGCTGTTGCAGTTTGCACTGCTCCTTAAAAACTCATCAATTTGATCGCAGTACATGTATTACCCTAAGACTTCATAAAATGTCCTTTCTTTGGATATCCATGGGCCATAATCTCTTTTTCATGACCTTTGGGTGTCAATGCAGAGTGCAGCGTGGCTGGCATGGGGAATCTCTAGTTGATGTAGCAAGAATAGGCTCTTTGCCCCCCATCTTTTGAGTAGGGGAGGATTAAGCTGTTATTAAAACCAACTTGATTTTGAAAAGGGATGTTTTAATTTTTATGCTGAATTACTTGGGTTGAAATGTCTAGAAAGGAGACAATGAGCAACTCCAGGTTGCTTCCTTCTTTGTCAGAGCCTTATTGGGTTTGATGTTTAAGGGCTGTTGACTTCTGTGGGCTTTGGAGTAGGTCCTGAGTAAATGCATTTAGAAGTCCAATGGAGTACTCTGCTTCTGAGCCAGACAAACTACACCAAGCGCCCAGAGCAAGGGTTGTGCCCAGCTAGAGCTAATGCCTCCTCTTTCCTCTGCAGTACAACTTCAAGAACAGAGGGAGCCTGACCTTTGAACCATTGACCCTGGTTCCGATCCAGACCAAAATGATTGATGTTCATTTACTGACGCAGAAAGAGGTGAGGGCAGGAGCAATTCCTCCTCTTGAAAGCATTTCCCCCTTCCATTAAAAGATCCAGAATAGTGGGCTTTCTTTTCAGCATCTCGCAGGGCCACTTTGCATATATTTTTCAGGGGTGATGAGGCCACAAGGGACTAAATACCTCTGATGACATCGTCTCTGACATAATCTCTGCTCTAATCTTTTCAGACTTCCCCTGCTCCCTGTAGCACGTTCTCATCTCTCTCGTTCTGTTTCAGTCCTATTATTTTGACCCCCAGTGCATGACTTCACCTGCTTCAAATCCCTCCACTGATGAGTCTGTCCTTCCAGTAACCCCACACACGCTCCCTGAGTGAGGTCCCATGCAGTATGCTATCTGCCCCAGGCTTAATATTGCAGTCCTTATTCAGAGACATAGTCCTGTTGAAGTCAATGGGCACATATTCAGGTATCTAACGAATGGGGAGTGTATAGCCCAAATTTGCAGAGGTTACTGCCAATTTGTGGGTGCCCTGTTGGAGATGCTGATTGCCAGAGGTGCTATAGTATCCTTAAAGCCCACCCAAGTGAGAGAGAGTCTCTTGTGAGGAGCCCCCCGCTAAAAATCGGGTCCTGAGTATACTAGTTTAGACACCCAGGGTGCCTATACATGTTCAGCAAGGCTGCCCCAATGCACTGTAATTACAGTGTGTTGGAGCAGACTCAGTTAATTGAATCTGCTGGAGCATGGTAATTACTGCACACGTCACGGCTCCAGCGTTATGTGTATCAGCATCCCTGCGCTGAAAAATGGCAGTAGGGGTGCTTTAACTAAAGCTTGTCGAATGAACTTTAATTAAAGTGCCCCCACTGCCATTTTTCAGGGTGGGGATACTGATATACATAACACTCCGGACGCTTTAATTAGAGCCGCTCTTGGAGCCACTGTAATTAAAGCGCCCCCACCCAACTCCTGGAGCATATGTATAAAAGCCCCTAAAGTCTGTGAGCTACTTCTGAACATGTGAGCCTAGCTCTTTAAGCCAAGAGTCTGTCCCGCACTAATGACCTTGTCCTATAATGGGGGCACTTTAATTAAAGTTCATTCAACGAGCTTTAGTTAAAGCACCCCCACTGCCATTCTTCAGTGCAGGGATGCTCCCTTGGGTCTCTGTGGAAGTTCATGGGAGCTGCAGAGGTTGCAAACACAAAACGTGAATAGGCCAACCACTGCTTCGCCTTTTCCGGATCTGCTTCAGCATTGCGCTTGTCGCTCTCTCTCTAGTGTGACTGGGTGAACAATTACCATCAGAAGTGCCGGGAGGTGATCGGGGCAGAGCTGGAAAGGCAAGGCCGACACGAAGCTCTGCAGTGGCTTCTCAAGGAGACGGGACCCATCGCCAGAATGCAATGATAACGACTCTTCCCCGGGGATCGCTCACCGTCAGGCACAGACAGCGCCCGTCTGCTTTGAAAAGTGGATAGGGTTGGAAGAAAACAGTTTGCTATCCTTTGGGGAACACGGAGGGGGCGGGAGGGGGCATTTTGCTTGTTTTCTGCGTGTATTTGGTTACGGGGGAAAGAAAGGAAAGAAACAATTTCTCTGACCGTGAGCAAATATTAACAAACAAACAAAAAAAAGTCTTGAATTTGAAATCTGGGTTTTGAAGAAGTGATTCTAGGAGACAGCATAGGATGGTTTTGTACTTCCTGGTTTTTCCACTGTGAACACTCAGTGATTTTTACATTCAAAATCCACTTCCGTTAACAGTGGTGCTAACGAGTGTACATTTCTGACCAGCTAATAAATATTTCCAAGTCCTGATTGCCTCCGTTTGCTTTCAGTCTGTTTGGTTTCTGCCAGTGGTGTCGCTTGTTAGTCAACTTGAAGAATGGCTCGAACTGCACAGCAGCATTGCAGTTCTCTGTGCTACGAGCTATTGGGACCTTAGGCTTGGAAGGGACCTCAAGGATGCTCTAGTTCATTAGTCCTTGGCAGGTATGACGCCAAGTAGCCCTGCACCAGTCCCAAGTGCCACTCTTATCCGCTTCCCCTGCCTCATCTACTGCTCTGCTGTCTACTCTCTGTCCTGGGTTCCCTGCCTAATCTGTTGTTCTGCTTTATTTGCTGCTGTGCCGTCTGCCCCCTCTCCAGCCTGCCGTGTGCCACTTGTGCTCTAGCGTGACCTACTGTACTGCCGAAAGGGCCATCGTCCAGGTCAGGCTGAGACCTCAGGGGAGTCTTGTGCTCCTCAGTTCATTCTGGCTGATTTCTGTGCAAGCTTGCAGAAAAATCTGATGGAGGGATACATGCACAAAGGGTCATGGCTGAAACTCCTGTCCTTACATGTGGATGTCTCTGTCTACTTATACGACCACCATCCATGTAAATTGTGTGTGCAAGAGCTCATAGAATCACAGTCCTTTCTTTCCTAAACAGGGATTTTCTCTTAGAACAATAAATCAACTACATGGTTCCTGTCCAAGGACTGTATAAAACTTGCACAGAGCATGCGTTCTTGCTTGGTCCACCTCTGTACCAGGAACCATGCTCTGTCTGGATATCAGCACCTAATAAGATATTACAAGTAGACATAATTATTCACAGAAGCTCCACACCCTGCCTCCATATTTTTGGAGAGAATTACATTCTTCTCAATTCACTCGTACATCTTCCCTGTAAAGTTATTTTATTCACACTTCGCGTAAAGAAATCGGAGGTCATCCAAAAAATGCTTCATTGCTATTTTAACAATATGATCACTACAGGCTGTGCTTGCACTAACATTCACAGGGAGAGGATCCTGATATTTAAGAGATGATGTCAAGCCATTGTAGCTCCAGGTATTCTTTTAAGGTAACACCTTGCATTAATAAAAGTGTTTCCATGCAATAACAAATTGAAAACTAATTAATATCCATTAATGGGCATGAAGCTCATTCAGTAGCAGTAAAGATCCACCTGCAACATCGGTGAACTGGTGTGAAAGTCCAGAAGCAACATTGGCTAGACACGAGAAATGAAACATGCGTCTCCTGGGTACTAATAACCAAGGAAATAAAAAAGAAAAAGAAATCAAGTGTAATTTGCTCGTCGCTTCTAATTCTCTTCATATAAGAGATAAATACACGGATCATTTTCTTAAAGATCATTTTTCCTTTAAATGTGTCCATGTCAAGCTGAGACACTTCCTTATTGCCACCCATTTTTCCCCTCCCTGTGTACAGTCAGAAGTGTGCTAGCTCCCCGAGTGGAAGGGAACCTCAAGAGTCATCTAATCCCCACTGCACAATACAGGATGCACTGCTCCTAAACCGTCCTAGATAAATGCCTCTTCTTGAAAACCTCCAATGAAGGAGATTCCCCAGCTCTCCTGGGCAGCCTGTTCCATTGTCCTACAGTTGTTAGTCAGGATTCACACAAGTTGAGGGCTGGAAGGGGCCTTGTGAATTCATCGGGTCCAGCAGGAAAGACTGTGGGGGTTAAATAACCCCGGCAGGGTATGCATCCAGTCTCCTTTTGAAGATCTCCAGGGAAGGTTCCTGCACCATCCCCGCTGGGAGTCTCTTCCAGTGGTCACACAAACTGTGAAGAAGTTTTTACTTATATCTAGTCTGCAACCTAGGGGCTTATGACCATTGCTCCTGGTTTTCCCCTGGGGCACTTTCGTGCATAGTTGTTCGCCTCGCCCCTGATGTTCTCCCCTGGTACATTTGTAAGCTGCCACCAAATCCCCCCCAAGGTCTTTTCTTTTCCAGGCTGAACAGTCCCATATCTGTCAGCCTTTCCTCTTCAGGCCTCTAGCCATACGAGTGGCTCGTCTCTGGGCTGTCACACTTCTCCATGTCCTTATTGAAGTGCAGCGCCCAGAACTGGGCGCAGTCCTCCAGCTGTGGTCTCACCAGTGCGGAGTACAGCAGGGGAACAACATCCTTAGTTTTGCTTGCGATGCATCGGCTGATGCATGCCAGCATATTGTTTGCTCTGCCGAGTAGCATCACATTGGTGACTCATTCATTTTTATGGTCAGTTATGACTCCCAGACCCCTTTCAGATGCGGTGCTAGCTAGTGTAGCACCACCTAGCCTATAAGTTGGTTGCAGATTTTTCCTCCCCAGATGGAGCATTTTACACTTCTCAGTGTTGAACAGCATCTGGTCCTGGTTCGCCCCTCTAACTAATGTGTCTAGGTCCACCTGGATCGTCAGCCTACCCCCATGCGTGGCTGCACTTCCCCAGAGCTTAGTGTCATGGGTGAACTTTGGATGCTTCTTTCTGAGCTTTAATCGAAATGTGCTTTCAATTAACTCAGTTTAAACCTGTTGCTTCATGTCCTGCTCTTTCTGGCAAGGGAGAACATTATTCTCCCTTCTCTTTCAAGCAGCCTTTCAAATATTTGCAAACAAGTATGCTGATCCCCACCTCCCCATCTCCTTTTTCTCTTGAAATAAGCATGCCCATTTTTCTCCAGCGTCCCTCATACAGCTGGCAGTCCAGCTCCTCGGTCATCTTTGCATTTTAAGGATGTAGAGATGCTGGAAAGGATCCAGAGACAAGTAGCAAAAGCCAGAATGCACACAGCGCTCCAGTAAAGACCTAACCAGCACTGAGCGGGGTGGCACTGTCCCCTTCAGTGTCCCGCTTGAAATCCTCCTATCAATAAAACACAAAATTGCATGTGCTTAAAAAAAAATGTGATTATTATTACTACTATTGTTATTATTACTACTATTTTGCAGCTTCATTACACTCCTGAGACATGTTGCTGTACTGCTAACAACATCCTCTGGAGTACTTGAGACTGCTAAAGTTCGCAAGAATAAAAAGTGTGTTAACCCGTAAGTCCCAGCCATCAAACACTAGCAATGTTCTGCAC